TTAGCGTAAGTTGGAATGCTATACCCACAAGTTGGTAGCAAATTGATGGTGAAAAAAACAAAAGCACACTTATTAGAATCGGAAACCACACTTCTTTCCAATTCATTGCAATTCAATTTTGTTTCTGCTTGCATAATGCATGAAACGATGTCATTTTCGCCTCTCTATCAAGAAATAAAAAAGGAGATCAACTAGTTATATTCACAATTCAATGCAAATTAGCAATCATTATTCTAGCAAAACAATTCACCATTTCATCCACAATTTGATAACAATGGTTCCAACACCAAAGGTCTATGCAAGTCTTGAGTTGTAACATTGATTTTTAGGAAAAAAAAAAAAACTTCAATGCAATGATGATACCACATCACCAGTATCACCATCCAATAATGTCTCACAATTTACCCTCCTATGCATATGTGGTAAGGTAGTTTTATCTGAAAAGTAGGCGTTCATCCTTGCGATGTAGGGTTTATTATTTGTTGACGATACCACGTTATCGGTATCACTGTTACATTGAATGTTTACTCGATTTTAAGGTCTTATACACATACACATACATTTGTATATACATAAATTTCAATTATAATCATCTTAATTTTGTTTAAATGATTTTTCTTTGTTGGAAGGGGATATCCATCTAGCAATGTTTCGCGTTTCAAAGCTAAAGAATGTGGAAGCTTCTGGAAAATCAGAAGGCTGTGAAAGTAAACCAGAGAGTGAAGAAGACCCAAGTGACAATTCAGAGACCACTAGTTAAAATTTAGGGAAAATTATTGTAAAATCCCATTTGGGAGAGTTTTGAACTGAGTAGTCTTCCGTATTTTTTAATACCCTTGGAAGTCCTCTTTTTTTGGTAATGATATAAGGAATATCCCATTTGTGTGTTTTGGGATTGATTTTGTGACGCTTTTACCCTTCATTGTAGTGTGTAACGTTTTAACAAGGGAGTGGTAAATCCCGTTGATTGCATTGTTCTGTTGTCTACCTTTGGAAAGGACGTGCGTGGGTGGTGTCTTTGTTTGTATATTTGAATTCTGGGGTGGCGGTGCTGAAGGTAATAACGTTCAGTGGAGTGTTGATTGTGGTTGACAGGCTGGGAAGTTGTGAAGAAAGGGAGTAGTGTTTTTGGTTTCCTTGCTACTACATTTTTCTGAAATGTGCTTTGTTTTTGTGTTTGGATTTTGTTTGATTTGTGTGGGGGAATGGGTAATGTTGCATTGTGGTGTGGCAATGGTAGATGCACGGCATTATGTGACAGGGTCACGTGATAGGTCACGGTTCGCATATGTGGTTACGAACGCACATTGTATGATGCATATTTGTTGTATGGTTACATTTTTTCCCACATCACATAGGGGTGTCATGTAGATGTAGCATACTCAACACGGACTCATGTATGGTTTTTTTTCTTGAATTTAATCACATGTTTGTTTTATTTCATTGTAGGGATGGTGGACAACACTATGTTATTGTGTTCTTACAGTGCTAATAATGTCGCTGTCATGGTGGATGGTGTGCATTCACGTTCGCGCCGTTCATTACATTTCAAATTTAAACATTAGGATGCTTCGTCCTTAGTTTCGCACAAACAGTTGTCTCGTTTCGATACATGAGTTGGAGGCACTTTACCCCAATTTGCAATTGTGTAGATATGAAAACACATTTGAATGCTTTGTTTGTGGTATAATTTAAATGTTCAGCATGACTTGGGAAAACAGCCTGACAAACACTTTTCGGCTTGCGTTCTGATTAACAATTCGCATCGACATGACATGTTTCAATAAGCAAAGCCACCACCCCACAAGACATCCATTCCCATTCCCATTCCCATAGGAGGAACTCTTCAGAATTGTTTAACACACTTGGCGCACAAATTTTCACACCAATCCCATTTCGAAATACTTCTCCCTTACCCTACATCAACTTCAAACATGGTTTACATATATTTTAGAACATTATCCAAACGACTCACGGGGCAGGTAGGCTACAGTACGCTTTTTTTTTCAAATGGTCAGGGTATACAATAGAATACACAACAATCATAAATTACCATTACTAATTAACCACAATGGGCAGAAACGGAAATTAGCACATAATGGGACTTCCAAGAGTATTAAATAAAAATTGGGACTGATTAATTCACAAGTCATTCATTTGGGATTTTTAGGTCAATCACCCTAAAATTTAAGGGTTGCTTCATTAATTAGACTTTATCTTCAGATCTTAACTGATAAATTCATTAGTATAAAATTATTCATAAAAATAAGAGAAACTAATAAATTTATCGCTTGTTAAATTTATCAATAAGATTTAATGGGTAATAAAAGTCCCAACAATAGGACTTACTGGTAATTTACCCTAAAATTTAGTACACATTTTTGTAGAACATTCCGTTAATATTTGAATTCTTTGAATTCCAAGTCTATGAGGAAATTTATTATTTGATATTTCTTTTTCTTTTTCTTTTTTTTGATAAAGCCTCTTGTATCTTCTCAGAATTTTCATAATAAATATTATTTCAATATATATATATATATATATATTTTTTTTTAAAAAAAAAAAAACTGCTGTTGAGATTTTGCTTTAAACCTCATTAAAAGTTGGGCCGGGCTAGACCAATTTTCGGAATTAGAACTTGATCACTTTTGTACACTTTTAAAGGTTTTTTCCACTCTTTATTATAATGAGTTGTTGATTTTTTATTTTTATTTTTTCTTCTCCCTTCTGTGAGCTCTTTCATGTACTAGCTAAATACTTAGAGAAAATTGCAAATTAGTACATGTTTCAAAAATAATTTCAGATCAATGGTAAAGTTTACTAATTTTAATAATTAAAATTTTGAATTTTTTGATGAATTTGTAAATATTTTGTAAAGTTTATATTGATTTGTAATTTTTTCAAATATTTATTATTGGATGATAATTGTCCAATTTGACTAAATTGACTTATATTTGAAAATAATCAACTGCTTGAAAAACATAAAGATAAAAATGTACTTATGAAGAGTGTTAAAAACTCATAATTTAAATTTCATAATTCCCTCACGATGAGAGATTATTTGATAGATTTGAAGCAATACTTTACATCATTTAAATTGTGCCACTTGTTTTTGTCAAAAACCAACACAAAAGTAGTAATGTCTCACTGTTTCAACCAATAAAACACTAGTTGGTGCACTAACATACCATGTCATTGCAATTATAATTGTGGAACTTAAATTATGAGTTTTGATATTTTTTATTGATCATATGCCTTATGATACATTTATAATAAAAAATATTTGTGACCTCTTAATAATAATAATTAATATAAAAGAGATCGGGAGAGAAGAGCAAACGCAGAGATTTATAGTTATTCGGTTTGCTAGGCCTACATCCACTCCTTAAAGATCCTTCTCGAGAATTTCTTCACTATCAAATAAATCAATACACTACCAAGGCTTGACCAAGCTTGTGAATTTTACAGGTCTTACTCTTATTTATTAAGTCTAACTTAATAATAAATGCCTCACCTTTATAGATTTTCTCTCACAAATTCATTAATAAGAATAAGAGATATTTCAGTTATTTTTTACAACAATTTCTCTCTTTCTATAAAATAGATATAAAAGTAAATGAGCAAAGGGCATGTTTGATTTGATGGATTAGAGTATGGGATTGAGATTATTAATCCGTAGGTCCAATTATCCTATATTTGTTTTAACATTTTGGTTTAGGATTATTAATCCAATGGATAATTAATCCAACAAATTTGTAGGATTATTAGTAATGGGTAGGGGTAGGATTATTAATCCAATGGATATTAATCCAATTGGATAGTGAATACCACACTAATTTAATGGAATTATTAATACGTCATTATTAATTTTGTGAATCAAACATTACCAAAGAAAATAAATAATAACACTTTGAGAATATCATATGTAAAAGTGAAAGAACATAATGAAAATGCAATCGAAGAATAAAGTTTGAATATTCAGATTTTTTTTCTCTTCAAAATGGATCTGTTGGAGGAGTAAGGACGTTTCACTTTTAACTTTTGCACGCTGTTCGAATCATGAGGACACGGTTGAATGGTCTATGCTGCTTCAAGTTTTTCCCTTTCAAATTGCGAACAGAAGTTTGAAATTATAGGCAAGGTTGTTTTTTATAACTAGTGAAATATTATTTACATAGTAATCTAGATGAGATTTTCAAACAATGAATAGTAATACACAGTATTTTTTTATTATTCATTTTAAATGCATCATATAACAGATAATATTTTGTGTCAAAGAATATAAAATATGCGTACTAAAAATCATGATAAATCTAATATAATTTAGATATCATCAAAATCAAACAATATGATTAATAGATAGATTTATTTATTTATTTATTGTTTGGTTGCCCAAAGGTACAACCTCATGAAGCAGGAAGTAGTTGGAGGACTAAGGGCCATTTTGAACATAGTAAACAGTCACGTTTTTGAATAAAATGTTCAAAAATATAAGTGTCAAAAACGCCAAAAAATTGGTTTGACAAGTGCTAAAAACGCAAGTGTAGAATTACAAATTAGGGCCTATGAAAAAATAAATAAATAAATAAAATTCTTATGTTAGGTAAGGATAGTTTGGTCATTTTAATTTGATTTGACATCATAAATAAATATTAAACTAAAAAGCAAAAAATCAGCTTTTTACCAACTTTCTAAATCACTTTCTAAAAAGTTAAGGGTTGGTTTGGGATGTCCTAAAAATGTGCACTTTTTGACTTATTGGTGGGTTTGTGTTGGGTTTGGATTGGATTTGATGTGATGTGTTAGAGAGGTAATGTAATTTAAATAAGATGATGTGACTTAAATAAGATAGTGACTTTTTGACTTTTTAACTTATTTAGTATATGGCAAACTAGTCCTAAAAAATTTAGTAAAAAGTCAAAAATTAACTTTTTACCAACTTTTCAAAACACCCCGACCCACCCAGAGGATGTCATCCGCACGTGGGGAAACAGAAGACAACACAACCCAACCAACCATTCCCTTCAAGGAGAAGGGGATACTCCATTCAACAACCAACCTTGTTGAAATCACAGACAAAGGAATAATCATCTACAACGCAGACTTCCCAATCATATCTGCAACCCATATCAATTTCTCTGGTACCAGGAGAGAGAAACCGAGAGAGAAACAAACAGTACCAAACAGGCTCGAGGAGAGAGAGGGAGGGTAAAAACACCATTAATATATTTCTTCCAAGTTCCAAGCTTTTAGGAAATTAAAAGCAAAACCCAGAAATTGGAATCAGCAAAAAGATGAGGATGGAGGTTTTACAATCTCAGAGGGTGGAGTTGATGGTGGGCATAGCCTTTGCTCTCGTTGCAGTTGGTGCCGGCACTGCCTATTACTTCTATCTCTCCAACAAGAACAAACCCAAAGGTAATCCCAATCTACATACATCTATCTCATTTATTTATATCTATGTATTCATGTAAAATAATCTATTTCAAAAAAAAAAAACAGAAACAAATCTATGTATGCAAATATTTGTATAATGTAGTGTTTTTTTTTTTTCATATGGGTTTGGTTTATTATGAATTTTTAACTTTATGGTCTGATGTGTTTTTTCTTGGGACAAATCTCTACCTAGCCAGAGCCAGGTGTCCTAACTAATTTTGTAAAATTATGTAAAATACAAGAAGGAAATGTAAGAGAGAAGTCTTCATTTTGAACTGTATTGCCATAGAGAGAGAAATAGAAGAAAATCTAGGAAATGCAAGAAGAAATATCCAAGGAAAATTGAAAATCACTTGCATGGAGGTAAGAATGCAATGGTCAATATTAATTTCATGTTGTCTACTCCATTTTCATTCCTTCAGACCTCATTAAAACCATCAAAGAAGGCCCATAATCTGGTGTGCTTGCAGATTGATGTGATGAAATTTGAATTGAATCTGCAACTTGAATTGTATTTGAACTTAGAGTTGTGCAGGGAACTTGGACTGCTGATGGATTTTGACGACTTGAACATGTATGTATATACACTAGCAGTGGATGCAAAGGTGACGCATTTGCAATTATACATTTAAATTTTTTGGCAGTTTGATAAATGAGGAAAATCGTTTAGCAGTTTTTGAATGAGGAAAACCATTTAGCAATTGTAAAAGCAGTTTGAAGGGTGAAAAAAACTGTTTAGCAATTATTAGATGTGACAATTATTGGAAGTGAAGGGCATTTTTTTGACAATTATTGATGAACGGGACAGTGTTCACACCAAATTGAGTGTACGGTTTATATAATAGAATAGATATAATGGATTTGGATGTGTATTGAGACTCACTTGAGACCTGTTAGAAGTGTATCAGCACGTGTATTTATATCATAGTTTGGGTAATAACATAAATAGCAGCACCTAAACACAATTTTGTAAGTTAGAATTGCAATGATTTCCCTGTAATCACAACTACTGCCCAACAATCAGGTACAATTTGATTCATCCAAAAAAAAAAAAAACAAATTGTATCTGATCAATTTCTGCTAAGACATTGAACTTCACATTTCTGCATTAAATTGATCCATATCCTATGGCAAAGGCTGCATTGAAAGAACAGATGGTCACGTGACTCGGTCCTTTTCTGAAAAAAATTAAAGAACATTCCCTGAATCAATCTCATTTGCAAAACCTCATCTTGAGTTGACAACCTTTCTCTCATTGCAAGACCAACTAATTTGATGTGTATATTGTGTAGTTTTATGCCCAATTATTTGGGGATGCTTTATTTGATTATGATAGTTCACCGTTACATGAGAAAATCAGTCTACACAATCATCTGGTCTCGCTTTTTACCAGTAAAGAAATGTTTGATATTATTTTGAGACCTGTTTGCATTTTTGTTTCTCCCACAATCTTCCCTACTGTTCACTTGTATATATGGATGTCTAAGGCCAAACCATTTTTAGTTGATCAATTAGTTGGATTATCTTCATTCATTTGTAGATTTTCTTTTTGTTTTTTTTAGCATTTCCATGTTTCTCAATTTTTGTTTTCTCATATGATTTCAAGAGGTTATGTTTCTGAGCTGCCTCAGCTGGCACATATAAATGGGAATTTCATCCCTGTCTTCCATTCTTTTGAACCTTCCCTCATTCAACAAGAAAAGTGTACTAAGGCTTAGTTTTTTGGATTATTTGAAATTAATTGTAAGTTTTAATAATTGTGAATGATTTGAGTAAAAGGTTTTTTTGCTTACTTTGGCTGGATAACATTTTGTTTTTTCCATTTTATTTATCCAAAAAAAAAAATTCCATTTTGTTTGTTTGTTATCTTTGTTTTCTTATCCACCTTTCCATTAAAAAGTAATTACAGCCCTTTTGTGGTTGTGTTATAAGACTATTCCTCGTTTGTGTTTGCATTTCAACTGAACCCTTCATATGCATTGATAGGTTGCTTGGACCCTGAAAACTTCAAGAAATTTAAACTTGTTAAACACACCCAGCTCAGCCATAATGTGGCCAAGTTTAGATTTGATCTGCCTACACCAACTTCAGTTTTGGGACTTCCGATTGGACAACATATGAGTTGCAGGTTTGTCCAATTTACAACACAATGCTATTTGGCTCAAATTTTGCATAAGTGCTGATTGGGTTGGATTAAGGTCAAATATATGAGGTTATTATTGTTAGCTTCATTTTTTTCTCGAACAGAGGAAAGGATAGTCAGGGTGACGTTATCAAGCCTTACACACCAACCACTTTAGATTCAGATGTTGGTTACTTTGAACTTGTTATAAAGGTATATGTACTCTAAAATGTTCCACTAATTTATTTAATACTTCTGATTTAGTTTTTTTTTTTTCCTGGTTCTTATACCTTTTGAATTGCTTTTGTATTTTCGAATTTTCATATTAATTAGATGTATCCACAAGGAAGGATGTCCCACCATTTTCGAGAGATGCGTGAAGGTGATTACCTAGCTATGAAGGGACCCAAGGTAAATTTTCTTCCTCTTTCTAGCATAATGGTAATTGGAATATGGATTATTACGGTAATGTGAAACAGATATGAGAACTTAATATTCCACAAGTTATAAATGTGTGATGTCTGATAACTTTTGGAAAACTTAGTATGCTATTATCTATTGTTTGATTTGCCTTTGTGTCAAGTTTAGGGCAAGAAAAGCCTGTAGATTTAAGGTTCTAGAAGGTATAAGAAAGGTTGTAGGTGTGTGGGGATTGAATACGAAAACATATTGTTCAGCTTTGACTTTCTTAAAAAAGGTCTCTGGCAATTATTACATGTTGAGCTCTGTCTACACTTTTCTATAAACATTCAATGAAGTATATTTTAAGACATTCAGTGAAGCTCATGATGTATAAATTTCTTTTCTGAAGCTAAGATGGTTATTTGAAGTCAAGGTTCTGAACCACGCTCATGTTTTCCAAATCTTTGTAATTGATGTATATGTGCTTTGTCTCTAGGGAAGATTCAAGTATCAACCGGGCCAAGTTAGAGCTTTTGGGATGCTTGCTGGTGGCACTGGCATTACTCCAATGTTTCAGGTACCTAACTTATTGACAAAAGATTGATAGCTTTCCCCAAACGAGGACTCTTTTTTTTGTCACACATTGTTCTTTATATTATTTTGACCTAGCTAACTTTTAATGTTTCTCGATTTGTTTGAATTAGGTTGCTAGAGCCATACTTGAAAACCCAAATGACAAAACCAATATTAATCTTATCTATGCTAATGTCACATACGAAGACATCCTTTTGAAGGTAAACCTCTCTCTCTCTCTCTCTCTCTCTCTCTCTCTACCAACATAAATCATGCTCACACAAAGAGATATAAGCGGAATTTGACTTATATGCATAATTTAATTTCTGTTGTACCATCAGTTTATACAGCTTGGCATCATAATGAAAATATTTAGGTTGTATGTGCATTCATGCCTTCTTCTAAACATACCTAAAAGGAAAGAAGAAAGAGAGGAACTTATTACACGTCACTCAGCAGTCCATAAGATAGTAAATGTCTTTTACATGGTTATTTTGGAGTGAATAAATATTGCTTTAGATGCTATTTTGCATATAGAGGCCATCATCATGTCTATGCTACAGAGGAAAGCAAGTAGGATTTATAAGTTTAACAATTCTACAATGTTAGCGTAGGCTTTTGGTATCTCGATCAGTGAGGGATACAATCTCCGAACTCTAGGGAAAACTGGGTCATGTTTCCCTGTTTTGACAGGAAATAAGTGACTGTTAGAATGCAAGAGTGCATGGTTTCTGATATGATACTCCCTCTGTCCTAAATTGTTTGTCTGGCACAGAAAATGAGAATTTAAAAATAATATATTCTCATCTCGTACTAAAATTTTCAAAAAAAAATTCACCAATTGAAAGATCTCATTAAGACTTTTTATTTGTGTAAAAAAAATTGAAAATTTTGGCATAAAAATACATTATTTTTAAGTTATTGCTTTACCTACTGGACAAACAATTTGGGACAGAGGCAGTATTTAATTTTGGTCATCTTGGGACAGATCATGTGGTACAATAACTTTGCCCCACCTGTGGTGTCAGCACTGTTAGCCATTGATGCACCTAACAAGGATTGGTGAGACATGAAACATAAACAAGAATAAAACAAGAATCTAAATCAAGTACACAAGAACACAAAGATTTACATGGTTCACCCTAGAATAAGATTACGTCCACAGTCGCTATAGTTTTCACTGTGATTTGAAAGTGTTACAATACAATACAAAGAGATGCGGCATTTAAACTATAAATACATAGTATTTATACAACGGGGGAAAACTGCAAAATACCAAAAATACCCTTTCTGCTAAAGAAAATTATGTCTGAAAAACTTTTTTAATACAATCCCATTACTAGTAGAATACAGTTGGGGATACTTTCCTGGAATTCAGACCCATTCATGATTCACAAATTCCACCAATGGTACCTGTAAAGAGACCAATAATCTCTTAGGCAGAAGCAAGTAATGTTGCGTTGCTAATACAGGGAAGGTAGCAACTTGATTTCTTGCTCAAAACCAGATAATGGTTCAAGACTAGGTATCAAAGTCAGAGTTTCACTAGGGAATGGTGTGCACTATGATCTGTTCCTCACCTCATTATATTTTTGCTCCTATGTGTTTAGTCATTTCCCATTATCTCTTGTCAGTCACTATCACTTTGTCAGTTATTATTACTGATTAAAAGCTTTGATTCCCTTCTACAGTAGTATAGTTATTCTAGCCCATGTGACAAACTCTTCCAAATATGTTGTTACCAAGTCAAACACAAACACAAAACATTTGGGTAAGGATTATTGGTTACGTGTTTGGCACCTAGCAACTAGCACGTATGTTTGATAGCTAAAGTTTATTGTAACATAATTTTTTTATAAATAATAATTCTATAAAGGGCTGCATAAGGGGAGTGCGTATACAAAAGAGAGGAAGAAAAGGCAAAAACTACATATACGCCTCCTCTTATATCGAAAAGTTCTACCACATCCAAGAACTGGTAAACAGAAGAGTTAATAGTGTAATCTATACACAATTCTACCCCTATCATACTGCATTTTAGAACATGTGGTGCACCACATTCTTGTTTCACATACCGGAATTATCCATGATTCAGGTAACATAGGATGGCATATAATACTCCCTTATCATGTTATTTGTTTCATGTTTGCTTCAAAATGAGTGCAGTGCCATGTTTAACATCTATATAAAATATAATACCATTTTATTCTAGAAAATGAAAGAACATTAAGAAATATGAATATTTAGGCCAAGTTTGGCATGATTGAAAAAAGACAAAAAGTCAAAAAGTCACTATCCTATTTAAGTCACATCATCTTATTTAAGTCACATCACCTCTCTAATACATCACTTCAAACCCAACCCAAACCCAACCCATAATTCATAAAAAGTCAAAAAGTGCACTTATTTAGTCTTCCCAAACTAGGCTTAGCCTTTCCTCTGTGTCCGTAGACTTGGGAATTAGCTGAATTGGACACATAAATGCATTCCCATGTCCAACACACATATGAGACCGTGCAACACAGTTCTCCTCTAAAATTTCTTTTCTTTTCAGTTTCTCTTTAAATTTGCATACTCAATCAGCTTAAATTTCAGCCCTTTTTCCCCAAATGTTAGGATATTTGAGAACTTAATGTTGAGAAGAATATTTGATAATGAGAAATTGTTATTAATATTCCTATTTGAATAGTGTAAATAGTCTTTATTAGTTTGTACACAATACACAAATTGTTGTATGGATTTTATTTTTTTATTTTTTGTTTGTTTTTGCTCTTGCAATTTAATAGCTTTTTAAGAAATCTTCATTTGATCTCTCTGGCCTAAATTACAGTGGTTTTTACAATTACTATCACAGGTTTTGGAAAATGTAATCATTGTGTTTGGATCTGATCATTCTTGCAATGATTCTAAGAACTTGATCGGATTAGCTGGTGGTTGACTGGAGTTAAATAATTATGTTCATCGTATATATTTCATTTGTATTTTTGCAGGAAGAATTGGCTAATTTGGCATGTAGTTTTCCTAACCGATTTAATGTCTACTGTGTTTTGAATCAGGTATCATCCTTTTTATTTGCATCTTCACTTTTAGTTTTAATTTCTTTCACCCTCTGATAAGGATGGAGACATCCATTTACAAGGACCCCTTTTTTTTTTTTATTGAAGTTATTTCTTGGGTAAGGATTCACATTCATTCTCACACAAAATGGAGAAACTGTTTTGCTTACTGATCTTTGTTTAAAAAAAAAAAGGAAGGGAATAATTTTTGTACTGTTTTTGCTTAGGACATATTGCACTGCAATTTTTTTACCTCTGATGTTCTAGAACATGTCTGTACTCTACATCACCAAACTTTTACCTGGGTTACTCTCAGCTTCTTTTTTTTCTTTTTCTTTTTTTGAGGTACATAAAGAGACTAATTTCACGGCAATTGCATTTCGTTTAGATCAGAAGTGATGCCATAACTAAAAATGCATGATAGGCGGACAGATTCTCTTTGCATCCTAAAATTGTCTGTGCAATGTGACCCTCCTTTAAAATGTTTTGTGCAAATGTTATTGAAATTTGTTTCAAATGCCATTCAAAAGAAAATTGAGCATTAAAATCAATGTGTTGTTCAGATCATAGTTACTATAATAGGAAGTGAAACCAGGAAACGATAGGGAAGACAGAAGTGGGAAATGTAGCCAAAAAGTATGTGGGAAATGGGAAGTGGGGAAATGATTGAAAATCAAAAGGGTAACCTAATAAAAATCCTAGCAAGAAACTTTTGCAAAATAGAAGAAAACATTAAGGTTATGTTTGGATTTTGGATTTTAAGTGAGATTTGTGGAGGGAAAAGAAAAGGGTAGGAAAATGTGAATGAAATATAAGCTTTTTTTTTTTTTTTTAACGTTTTCCTTCCGTTTTCTTCTCGCCACAAATCCCTATCTAGATCTAAGATCCAAACACAGCCTATGGATTTGGGTAAGGATTTGGAAAGCGAAAAGTTGATTTCACCCACTTTTTTCCTTTTCCTTTCCAAATTCCTATCCTAATCCATGATCCAAACAGAGTCTAAAAAAATTATTTAGAAACCTATAGGAATACTTGAACAAAAGATGTCGAATTCTTAGTTAAATCTTAAAGGAGAAACATTTAGGAAACTAATGAAAATCACTTGGTGGATCACTATAGTAAGCACATAGGAAATGAATAGGACACATATCATATTTAAGGTGGTTTTTTGGTGATGACCTCTAATTCTTTTTCCTAGGGTTACTATACTCTCGTCTTTTGTGATCTCAAAATCTTCCCAAAGTTCTTGTGCTTTTGCCTTCCATTTTTTCCCCTTACTTTTGATGATAAATGCGTTTCCTGATTTTAAATTGTTTCAATAATACATCCTCAGCCACCTGAAGGATGGGACGGTGGAGTTGGGTTTGTATCCAAGGAAATGATTCAAGCCCACTGCCCTGCACCTGCGTCAGATATTCAGGTAAACTAACTAACTAACTAACTCTCTCTCTCTCTCTCATTTTTCTTATGCATCCATCTTGGATCTAAATGAATCTCCCATGATGTTAAAGATACTGAGGTGTGGGCCTCCACCCATGAACAAGGCGATGGCTGCTCACCTTGAAGCTCTTGGATACGCTTCCCAAATGCAGTTCCAGTTCTGAGCCTTTCACATAACTTCTGTTTGCCTCTCTGTGTGCAAGATTTGTCACTTACATGAACAATGTAATCCTATTGTTTTTATTTTTGAGATATATATATATATATATATAGAGAGAGAGAGAGAGAGGCTGTCAATAAAGTGAAAGGCTGTGTTTCTTTAGCATAGCTTGATGTAGTTTGGAGAGGGCTTTTCAACTGTCATTCAAACTCAAAATGTGTTAGCTAACTCTTTAGTAGCTCGATTATTTAGAAAACATTCTATTATCCCCATTCGGTTTCTATACACAGTGCAGCTCTACTGGTGAAACCATTCATCTTCTGTGCAGATTCCAATTCAGTTAGTCTCATGGCATGCAAACGGCTTCGGAGATGCAGAAGCAATTTGCCCTATGTCAAAGGCTTAATTTGAGGGTTAATATATATGTGCACCCGCGAAAAGAGAGGCAGGTGATGACTAAAACCCATAGGGCCGCTAAGATATATATATATAATCTGAATCATGGAAAAAAACTAGATGTAATTTATCCAATAATGCAGGTTCAAGTTCTGCTTTGTGACTAATTTCACTGCTTTAGATCCAGTCAAGCTATTAGGTTATGACTTTGCATTATTTAGTGCCCTTGTCAGCGTCCTCATAAGTAGTAACTTAAAAGAGTCAATTTGAAAAGAACTTTTAACAAACCAAACCGAATAGTAAATTATTTAGACTTTAATTTGAAAACTTAACAAATTATAAAGTGCATTCAAATTTAACTTGTTTGCACAACAAATCAAATGAACTTCTAACAAACTAAGGCTAAGTTTGACAAATGAAAAAAAAAATTAAAAAGTTAAAAAGTTATCAAAAAAAATTAAAAAGTTAACACGATTCATCAAAAAAAATATAAAAAAAAAATTTAATATATAAATATTAAATACAAATTCACTTTTTGTTCAATCAATGTAGGTGACGTCAGGCCACGTCAAGCCAGCTTTACTTAAAGGAAAGGGAAAAAAAATTGCATGAGTATATTCAATCAATTTGAATGGTAAAATTGGGCCCGTGGAGACTCGTCATGAGTCTCGTTTTGATAATCCGAACCGTTCAAGATGTAAAACTCATCTAGTACTATATGCTTGTAAAAAATCACGTCTATCAGATATCGCTAACTACATGATCAAATCACTTTTGTATCAAATTTGAATGGTGTTATAGTTCACATTTGACAAAAAAAACTAACACGATCAGATAACTATCGATATTCAATCAAAGTGATTTTTTACAAGCATATAATACTCGACAAGTATTACATATTGAATGGTTTCGATTAGAAAAAAAAAAACCGTAATAGACCCCCATAGTCCGAACAACACTGTCCAATCAAAGCCCGAAAAAGAGGCAATATTTTCCCATGTAATACCAAGCCAGCTGACTGTCAATTTCATACTGTGTACTACACCATCTTCTCCTACACACTTCTTTATACAATTTTTTAATACACATTTTTTCATAAAAAGTCAAAAAGTTAACCCAAACATCTATATTTTTCTTCTCAACTTTTTAGTCTAAAAAGGCAAAAAATACATTTATTTAAGACACCCCAAATAACCCCTAAATATGAGCTTAATAGCTTGATTCATTTAACAACCTTAATCTTACATCCAAGTAAGAAAAATTTCAAATTGTATCTGAATAAAAGGCAAAGGCTAGGGCTTCAATTCCGGCCAGCTCATGTAACAGTCCTAATACACCAAACAAATTTATCCTTGAGCCCACATTGCACAACCAACTAGGGTGGATAGAAGCCACATTCCACAAAGAAACTAGTGTCAAAAAGCTACTTGAGGTTCGTTACGCTCGGCCGTTGGAGAAGGATCACATGCAAATACAACTTAAAATCACACCGAGTTTAGGCTTGGAAAAAAAAAAAAACCGTAAAGATGAAACAAAAATACATCTTAAAACCCAAGCTATGTCGAAAACTTTTAGTCAAGAAAATGATTCCTTGAAAATTCAAAATCTGTAAAGCCTATCGCCTCCGCATTCCTCGTCCACGACCACCACGGAAAGCAGCTCCACCACGCCCTCTACCACCCATGGCACTTGCTGCTGCATCTCCCTGTGCACTCTCAGACTGCATTTTCAACATCAATTAGAACCATAATAAGAGTTAAAATCACATCAAACAAAACAGAATTGCATCACAGATTCACAGGTAAAATCAGGACTCAGACAACCCAGAACACCTGAAGTTATCAAAGCCATGAGATCCATGAAAGCATAACAGGATACAGGGTACAATTGCTCCACATGTAACCAGCATCCAAGTGTGTTTTCCTTGTACAGTTTGAGTAAAGAGCAATATCATACATTACATTACCATTACGTATGACGTGTTGTGATACCATACATACAGAAATGTGCATATAATACATGGCATCAACAATAAATTAATAATATCTTTTAAAAGATCGAGAAAACCAAATAAAAGAATGAATAGCCCACATCCTCTTATCAATAGATTCATGACTCAATGAAACACCGTCAATGATAAAGCCGGGAACAGTGATCAGTGTTCAAGCCCCGGCCCGTCCCCGTCCCCGTCCCCGGCCTCGGCCCTGGCCCCGGCCCCGTCCCCGTCCCCGGCCCCGAATTTTTCCCGAAGCAAAATTACCGTTTTACCCCTCTATATATATATATAAATCAACCCTTTCACTTCACTCACACAGAACCTCACACTCGGTCTCACTCATCTGCCTCTCATCTCATCTCTCTCTCTCCCTCTCTCTAAAACCTTCCGCCGATCTCCATCCCCCACCGCCGATTTCCCTCCTCCCACCGCTGATCTCTACCCTCCCTACGACTCTCTCTCTTCTCCCTTACAAACCCACTTCTCACTCTCACTCTCACTCTCTCTCTCTCTCTCTCTCTTTCTCTCTTTCTTCCCTCTGCCGACGCCGTTGCCTCTTCCGACGCCCCTACCTCTTCCGACGCCCGTACCTCCTTCGTCCACTCGATCTGCCGACGCCGTTGCCTCTGCCGTCGTCCTTCACTAGCTCTTCACCGCTGCAGATTTGCTCGATCTGCTCGATCTCACTCATCTGCCTCTCATCTCTCTCTCAGATTTGTGTCTTGTTCTATCAAATTTTTTTTTGTGTGTAGTTGATCTGTTGTTAAATGATCTGTTGATGTTGAGATGTTGTTGAGTTTTTTTTTTTTTTTTTTTGATGTTGTTGATGTTGTATTTGAGCCCAAATATTCTGTTGATGTTGTTTTTTTGACCGGGGATTTTCGGGGTCGGGGAAACCCGATCCCCGTTAGGGGGTGGTAGTTGGTTCCCCGTCGGGGACGGGGACAGGGACGGGGGGAAGTTCTGCCATCGGGGATCGGGGACGGGGAGGGTGATCCCCGGCCCCGCCCCGCCCCGTTGCCATTCCTAATATCATATATTACATTACCATTACGTATGACGTGTTGTGATACCATACATACAGAAATGTGCATACAATACATGGCATCAACAATAAATTAATAATATCTTTGAAAAGATCGAGAAAACCAAATAAAAGAATGAATAGCCCACATCCTCTTATCAATAGATTCATGACTCAATGAAACACCGTCAATGATAAATAATAAATAAAGAAGTCAACTCATTGGACTCCCAATCATTAAGAATTCTAAAAAAAATTGAATTCCAAGAAGTCGAAGCCAAATATTGAAAATTCATGTAGGCAACAGAAATATTATGAAACTAAGAAAGGTGATTCAAATGAAGGAACAAAATCTGAAAAGAGGCCTCACGCACCCAAAAATCCTCCCAAAACCAAATAATCTCTCCTCATTAACCACAATGAGTTGAGTAAATCTAGAGAAAAAATAGATGTCTTGAGAAACAAATTTCCATGGAGATCTAGAATTCCCCCAAGTCCCATCAATTGGTATCCATCACATACTTACTCTTAACAACAGCACGTGCCAAGGACTCCCTCTCCCAAGGAAACATCCATCACCACTTCGCAAGCAAAGCAAAGTTCTTAGCTACAACATTACCCAAAGCATGACACCCCAACCCCCGCCCCACTTCTCTTTTGGGCAGAACAACACTTCCCAAATAACCAAGTGAACTTTATTCCCCTCTTCACTACCTTTCAACAAAAAGTCACTCATAATTTTTCAATCTTATTTGCTACCCCCTCGTTAGACAGAACGGAATGGACCAAGATAAACCTAATCCCCTTAGAAATTAAAGCCCTCTTCCACCCTTTCAGTCTTTTACCAATCTTCCCAATGAAAGGTGCATAAAAATAAAAGGATTGCCCCTTCACACTAGTTTTAAATACTTCATTGCAGAGATACGATTGGACACCCTATCAACCCAGCCAATTTTTGCGAAACAATCTGTGAAAGATTAATAACCACATAGGCTTCGTTTGGAAAGTGGGTTGGCTTTTTGACTTTTTGATTTTTTTGAGTATTTTAGCCTGGGCTAAAAAGCTTGATTTGGGAAGGACTTGTTGGCTTTTTGACTTTTTGGCTTTTTTTGTGAGAGCAGAGTACAATGATTATGGGTTGGATGTGATGTTTTGTTTGTTGTGGCTAAAATAGCCTATTTTGTCTTTTATGGCTAAAATAGCCAAAAAACCCATAAAACATCTTCCCAAACGGAGCTATAACACGTCTCCAGATATTAACCTTGACCCCAAAATTTGTCTCCATTTGACACTACTTATATCAGAAACTTCAGGAGACTATAACATTAAAAAAGACTGACTCCCAGTACCTGAAGTGGTCATTCACCCAAAAAAGTACTTGAAGTGGTCACAAACAAAAAAAACCAACTTCACAAGTTTACAATTTAAAAGGTAAAACATACTCCAAATGCCAAAGAGAACCCATTGTTCATCCTTTTAATATTATCAATGAAAGATTCTAAGCTAGCTTTCAATAACTAAATTTTATAAGACACTGAAAGAGAAATAGCCAATAACAACTTGAGAGCTAGGAGGTTAACGAAACCACACTTTCTACAATATCTATAGAAATGCCTATGTATGATAAAAACAAGTGGAGAAGGCATTCACTATCAACACTTTAAAATAAAAGTTCACATTACCTTTGGGTTTTTCACAGTCTCATCCACACTTAAGATAAGACAAGCTGCCTCAGTAGCAGCATTTATGGCATTGATCTGCAACAAAGTTTTGAAAATTATCATAGTTGTTGACAACTTTAAAACATCAACAAGAAAACAACAGATGTCTTCAACCCATAACCGAGTTAAAATGGGTAACTACCTTGACAACTGCTGGCTCCCACACAAAGTTAGCAAATGAATCAGCAATTCCACCAGTGTTGATATCTACTCCATAGAGTGCACCTTCACCTGTTCAAAATCCCGCAACATTCTTAATAATATGTGGTGGACATAAGTTCAGTAATAAAATACTTTGGGTGTGTTTGGTTTGGTTTTGGGAGATAAATTTTCAAAAAAAATCTTACGGAAAGAGTTTAGAAATTTGTTTGGTTTATTTGGTTGTATATTTTGGAAATAGTTTTGGAGTGTGGGAGTTTATTTTGAGATGATTTGATATTTTGTTGTAATTGAGTAAATGTGCGTGATAGAAAAAGTGATTGAGAAGGAGAGAGAAGAGACAAAAAGTGATTGATTGATTGATGTGTAGGAGATAGAAAGTGATTTCGGAAATTTTTTTTCCAAAACCACTAAACCAAACAAAATTTTAGAAAATTCTCTAAAATTTGTTTCTCAAAAACAAACCAAACAAGGCCTTTGATTTTTTAGAATCTAGAGAATTTATCATATATTTTCATTAAATACATAATCACCCATCTTTACTTCCCAAACAATTTGTTATTATCCCAAATATTACAAAGAATTTTGCATTTTTCATTTCAAATTACATCGAATAATTATAATAGCAATATTTCCTCAAATCTCTGGAATTCAAAATCAACTCCCCAACCCTGAATTTGTCACCAAGGTGGCACGGCAAGCACTGGCCTAAAGCCACCTAAATAATTTCCTAGACCTAACCATCCAACCTACAAGTTATTCTAACCAAACACAAGGCACCACAGTACAGGAAATGGATGGAAGACAGTAAAAACAATCATTAATTCAATGGTCTGCATGGGCAGAATGCCAGTGTCAAGTTCTAGCACAAAATATAACACAGAAAGAGGCAAACCTGATTGTAATGCATGCTTTTGTCTCAGTTTATTCAGTACATCAGTTGCATCAAAGCCCGCGTTGTCACAGAGTTGTCTTGGGATAACCTGCAACACATGAGATGCATTATAATTTCAACCAGTCACACATTCTTAAACTTCATACAAATTATAATTAGACAATTACTGATCCGGAACTGGTGTCCTACATCAATACACTACAAAAACCTCATGGAAAATACACAAATACTAATTTTTCCACTGAAGAGGTAAAAACCAATTAGCAACATTATCAGAAGTACATTCAACCAACACTTGCAACAAAACCATGAAATATGGTAAAGCAAACCTCCTATTTACAATAGGTTTTATTATCACTCAAAATAGTATAACACAACTACTTTAAAGTAATCTACACCATTTTTAAGAAAGTATTAAAATTGCCAAATGATGGTTTTAAATTGTAGTATAGGCCAGCACAATGGTTGCGACCGTGTATAACACCATCATTACCACCATAGTTTTAAATCATAGTATAGGCTGGTACAATGGTCACAGTCGCATGTAATGGGCATCAGGAGTATCAACCGATGGTGTAACAGAAATAGAAAACTGAACATGTGAATTTTTTTTCCAAGTATTAGCAAATGCCAAAACACTCGTCGATAAGCATGCTCTAACTTTATTTATCACAATTTGAATGTTTGCAATGTGTTTTAATCAAACATTGTATCATCTAAAAACATATTTTCTAAAATAATTTTATATTGTTTTCAAAGCAAAATAATAGATAATTTCATATTGCAAGAGAATTTTCAATTCACACAAATAATGAAAGGTAAGAAAATGATCAATTCATAGCAAATTTTATTATAAGCAGAAAAGACACCCCATAACACCTACCTCAAGAGCTTTTGCATAAGAGTTTATAAAAAGCTGAGACTTCCCAGCTATTGTCCGTGCATGCTGCCGCAAGTATCGGCTTATCTCCATCTGCAACCAAGAACATAGTATAAATCATCAAGGCATTAAATATCCTGAGATTTTAAGAATAATTTCTAAAAAGTAGATGTAAACCCATACATCTATCGCACCACCACCAGCAACCACAGTAGAGTTCTTCAAAGCCCTCCTAACAATCATGATTGCATCATGTAGACTCCGTTCTGCTTCCTCGATGAACTGAAAATATTCAAAACAATAAGGGCCAAGATAAAACTAGTATACATGTGTTTGCTAGGAAAATAATGACACACCTGATCAGCTCCACCGCGTAGAACAATAGTGGCTGTCAGACCTGATGGGCATCCACTAAATATGTTAAACCGTTCATTCCCAACTTGCTTTTCCTCAAAAATCTCACAGGACCCAAGAACCTTGGAACAAATCAAAGCTCAACCAAATCAGCTGGACTTACAATAGAGAGCAAAGGGTTATTTACTAAAGCATGAAATTACCCTAACAACCAACACATCTAACTGTTGAATGCTTCATTTGCTAATTAAATACTTCTGGGACAAAAAGCAAGGCAGAAACCTCGTCAATAATGTTATTAACAGATGTCTGTACAGTTCCACCCGTTGCAGCTGCAACTCGCTGCAGATCCTCCTCTGTAACACGACCAGCACAAAATATATCCCGATCTGCAAAATACTGATCACACACAAACCATTTGAGAATTCCGTTTTGGCACTCACCAACCTACTAAAATAGCCACAAATGCCACACTTATGTAGTCTACATGCACAGAAAAGAAGATTTCTAAATCAAAAGTGCCCCCCCCCCCCCCCCCCAACCATGTGAGAGAGGGCCTATATATCCATAATGGATGAGGATAGCGATCTTCAAAGAAAATTAGCAAAGTAAAAGCATCATAGATTTTCTTCCCACCACATGCATCCTAGTGAGGCATATGTTGGCACCATCAAAATTAAAAAACGTCTTTTTAAAGGTCATCAAGCAACACCTTGCTGCAGAGTTGGAATTGACATTTATATCTAAGAATATGATATACGGCCAAGTCTACTAATGAATTTACCAATGGCTTTGGAATTAATGAAATTGAAACAAAAAGACAACTGCATTAGTATTTGGGATATATTTAAACATTTTGAATGAATTCATGTGCTAGTGTTCCATGGAAATAAAAGTTAATATGCACTAAGAGAAAAGTACAAGTCACAAACCTGAGTGGCTAGATCACCAATAGCCAGCCGAGAAAGAACAATTTTGGCCCCACTCTTCACACATTTATCCAATTTGTCATATATGATGTTCCATTCTGCATCAACAATCGACTGATACTGTGATGGATCTGAAAGTCTACAACAAATAAGAAAATCAATCAGGTATGTTCAGCACTTCACAATAAAAGAACGTTAACAACAATAATCCTACCTTATTTCTGCATTTTCTTTCTCCGATTTTAGTTCCAATTCAACATTTAACAGAAGAATCTTGGGATTTAAAAACTTTTTCGGTTGCTGTTCAAACCCAGCATATGAGAAGGTCTTTTTGAAGGCTACACCATTTACAAGGAAGGAGTCCCGCATATTACCTCCTGGAACCTATAAATGCAAACCAATTTTCCCAAGGCATTAATTATTTTCAACTATTATCTCAAGCCAATGCCTAATTCATTAAGAAAATATACTATAATAAGGGAAAAGCTGTAATATGATCTATGTGGACCAATTCAAATCAACTTAAATGTCATAAGCAAGCAACACTAGTGCAAATCCATGCATATACACAGATCCATATATATAGACATATAAATCAACAAAACCTAACAGCCTAAATTCAAAGTATCAAAAAACTACATTTATTGCAATTTTTCTTCATTTTGAAACATTGGCAATTTGGCATAGGGAGATGGAGATGCATCTATTGAGTGGTTATGGATTTCCATGTTTCTCATCTTTTAGCATTAAATTGTGAGCCTTACTAGTTTATTTATTGCAAACAGATACTTTTCCATTTTCTATGACTTATACGGGGAGACATTAACATTTTTTTCTGGCAGACATTCTCTAATCATAAGATATATCACCTACAGCATGCCACATTACATATAAACTTCTGCGTTCATCACTACACATATTATTTGCTAAAATTTACTACCAAGGCAATGGCAAATCTCTATACTGTGATTTTTGAGCACCAAACAGAAAGATGTTGAAAAAATTAATATATATGGTAACATCAGCAGATCCAATATATTATATCATTTCTTATCAGTGTAATGTCTATTGAAAGAGAAATGCTTTAAATAGATATTCAAGATTTTGAACCTACAAATATTTTAAATGACGCCGTAAATTTGAACTTGTCTATGGTACAACGAATATTTATCAGCAGAATAATTTTCACCGCACAACAATGGTGAGATTCATCATATATAGCTGCTAAAAATCTACAGAAATTTAGATTGAAAAGAATCTTATGTCTAAACAAGTAGATCAGAGGTGCAATGCAACAAAATAAACAAAAATACAACATTCAATGTCAAATATGAGTACCTTCTTGATTCCAATCATATTTAGCCTGTCTTCATAGCCAATTGCAATGACAGCATCAACAACCATAGATGCAAAGAACTCCTTTTCTCCACCAATGAGCTTTGAAGAGAGAGTTGTAGCAGCACATTTTGCCAGTAAAATTTTCTTCTCTTCCAGACTTTTTCCTTCTATGCTAACAGCAAGTTCTTTGATCTTCTCAATTGCCTATTGTGTAGCATGCAATATGAAGTACGCATAAGAACAAGGCTCTTGAATGCATCAACAAAAAAATGATACAAAAACAAACTGGGACAAAAAAATATATATCAAAACCTATACCAAATTGCTTGCAGTGCGGTAACTCCGGATCAGATTTTGAGGGTGGACCCCATCCTCAATAAAAGGCTTGGTCTCCTTCAAAAACTCCCCTGCCAGCAGAACTACCGTGGTGGTTCCATCACCAACCTACGCCACAACCAGAATTTTTGCAGAAGTGAAAAGCTTACAACCATAGAAGTGTCATATACAAGTAAGTGGAGCTGTTTTCTACAGCCAAACCCACCTAAGACATTCAAAGGTAATTAATTCTTAGCGCACCAGGAGGATCATTAATTTTGCGTGTTTGCATGAGGTATTTTTGGCCACACAGCAGCAAATCATTGCCCCCTCACCCCAAAATTTAGGGTTACTCTAACTGACTTAATTTAAAAACTATGTATTCTTAAAGACAAACACAATTTTTTTATCAATCAATCAACAAAAAAAAAAAAAATACAAACAAAATTTTTAAATGAGATAGTACAATAAAGACCAAACCACAAACTAATTTTCTCCTTTACATTACAACTTCTCAATAACCCAAGTGTTTAGTTAAAGTATAATTTGGATTAACAATAAAAATGAGGCCAACGCCACAAAACAACCACCCTGCACTATGAACCTATACAAAATTCATATGGCCATAGTTTGAATACGAATCCCAAATGGAAATAAAAATCATCCCTTTAGTATAATGGAACCATTGCCTAAAACCAATTCAGTAGACTTGATAAATTATCCACAACAGCAACAAAATTAATAGCAGTGGGCAGCAAGAATACCTCAGAGTCCTGTGACTTGGCAATGTCAACAAGGATCTTAGCCGCCGGGTGAACAATATCAAGAAGCTTCATGATGGTGGCACCATCATTGGAAATAGTAGTATTGCCTTTGTCGTCATGGATCAACTTGTCCATACCCCTGGGACCGAGCGTAGTGCGAACCACATCGGCGACAGCAGCACAAGCATTTATGTTGCTAACCAGCTGTGCCTTCCCTTGGGATGTGTCCGTGCCTTCCTTCAGCAAGATGATCTGGGGTTGCTGTTGTTTCCATCACCACCACCACATCCAGAGAAAAAAAAATGAAAAGAATCATCAAAATCAACAAAGTAAGTTATCTTTATTGCACATTATCCTCCGTTTGGGTGCCGAGAAAATAACAGTTGAAACTTAGGTATTAGATTTTCTCAGCAACTGGCCTGTACAATTTTCTCAGCAACCAATCGGAGTAAACACAGAGAGAGAGAGAGAGAGAGCTTACCAGCATAGCTGCCATTGGAAGTTGAGAAGTTTAGAGAGAGAGAGTGGAAATGAAGGAAGCGAGTTTGGGAGAGGAGAGGAGAGGAGAGGAGAGAGAACAGCGGCGTAGTAGATCGGTAGGGAGTGGAGAGGGGGTTAGGGTTTTGGTTCCTTCGGTTTAGCTTTTGCGGTTTAGATGTTTCGGCCCTCTTCTAGGTTTTTTATTTTTATTTTTTTTTTCATGACTCTTCCATTTCTTTCCAAAAAAAATTCAAAAAAATAAAATAAAATAAAATATTGAAGTTACAATTAAGAGATAAATTTTTGTATACTAAGAGCATCTCCAACGATGGACTTCTTTTTTCATCAAATTTGAGTAAAAAATGACTCATTTCACCAAATCTGATATCACTAGCTCCAACGGTGCATCAAATCCCGTGGGGCAACCGGTTGGTCGACCGATAAGTGTAAAAAAAATTTTTTTTTTTTTTACCCTTTTAAACTGTTTGAACCCACCTTTATGAACCGGAGAAAGGGGCGACCGATTGGTCGACCGGCCGGTTGACCAGTCAGCCAATTTTATTTTTATTTTTTTTCTTTTTGTTTCCTTCCATTTCTGTTCCCAATTCTTTTTCCTATTTCTGTTTCCCTCCATTACACATATGTCTGGCATATGGATTATGTTCTCATATAAACCCATTATCCATATGCCAGACAATTCCACACAACTGATACGATCATAACTTAAACAAAACAGAGCATAATGAATACCTTCAAATTCAAATCCATGATATTGACTTCATTTTCATCATCTTTTTCTTCCTCTTCCTCTGATGATGAGTCTGATGATGATGAATATATCGTCACATTTTTAGGAGCTTATGAGCAGAATAATACTAGTATGCTTCAGATTCTTAAGTCAAGTGATAGCTCAAAGAAAATAGGTGGTTCTGTTGTAGGTCATAGATATATACACAGAGATAAAAGGCAGGGTCATGACAGATTGTTTGCAGATTATTTTGCTACAAATCCAGTGTATTCACCTACAATATTTCGGAGACGTTTTCGAATGCGTCGTCCTTCGTATCTACGCATTTTGAATGCAATCCAAGCACACAATTCATATTTTGTTCAAAAACAAGATGCAGCTTATGTACTTGGATTGTTTCCCCTACAAAAAATGACTTCAGCGATGAGAATATTATCATATGGTGTCGCAGCAGATGCAGTTGATAATTACATTCGTATTGGGGAAAGCACTACAATTCAAAGTTTGCAACAATTTTGTAACTCAGTGATTGAAATTTTTGGAGAAGAATATCTGAGATCTCCGACGCCAACTGACATTGCTAGATTACTTGCTATTAGGGAGGTTCGGGGGTTTCCTAGCATATTGGGAAGTTTAGATTGCATGCATTGGGAATGGAAAAATTGTCCAAAGGCATGGCAAGGTCAATGTGTAGGCCATCAAAAAAAACCAACCATTATTCTTGAAGTAGTAGCATCTTATAACTTATGGATTTGGCATGCATTTTTTGGAATGCTTGGCTCACACAATGACTTGAATGTGTTGGACCGATCGCCTTTGTTTTCTGATCTTGCGCAAGGTAAAGCTCCCCCTGTCCATTACACAATTAACGGACATAGTTACGATATGGGTTATTACCTTGCTGATGATATACACCCTCAATGGGCAACATTGGTTCAAACAATTTCTTCTCCCCAAGAAGCAAAGAGACAACATTTTGCAATGATGCAAGAGTCTGCCAGGAAAGATGTAGAGCGGGCATTCGGAGTCCTTCAATCTCAATTCGCAATCATAAGTGGTGCTGTACGTTATTGGGATTCGAAAATGCTTGCCAACATAATGAAGAGTTGCATCATATTACACAATATGATTGTCAAAGATGAGAGGGAGGAGCACCTTGATTTCAATTATGATATTTCATCAACCGACACACCAGTGCAACTTTCCTCTACTCCTACCAATGACTTCCAATCATTTTTGTCTTGTCATTTAGGTATTAAAGATAAGGATGCATATCATGCCCTCCGTAATGATTTAGTAGAACATATATGGCATCTTCACGGTGAACACTAAATTCACCACATCAATACATGTAATTTTGTTTATAGTTTTGGAATGGAAGATTCTCTTGTTTGTAATCTTCATTATGATGCACTATATTAACTAAGTAATTCAGAAGTTATGTGATGATGTATTGTTGTAATATTCAATCTTTGATAAGGATGCATATCATGCCCTCCGTAATGATTTAGTAGAACCTATGTGGCATCTTCATGGTGAACACTAAATTCACCACATCAATACATGTAATTTTGTTTATAGTTTTGGAATGGAAGATTCTCTTGTTTGTAATCTTCATTATGATGCACTATATTGACTAAGTAATTCAGAAGTTATGTGATGATGTGTTGTTGTAATATTCAATCTTTAATATTCAGATTTGTGCAGTGTTCAGTTCATGACAATTACAAATGATAATTTCACATAAAATTAATATGATTTTCTTAAATTCTGTGTTGATGTGCCACAAATGATAATACCACATCCATTTATGCACATTTCATAATCATGTCTTAAATGATAATTTAATAATAATATATTAAATTACTGATGTTCATGTGCATAATCATAATGTCTTCAATTACTGATGTTGAAGTGCATAATCATAATGTCTTCTTTTACTGATGTTGATCTGCATAATCATAATTTAATAATAATGTCTTAAATTAGTATTCTTAATTCAAGGTCAATTCTTAAATTACTGCATAATCATTATTTTTGCATATACAAATTTATTGATGTGGCATTGATTTACTGATGTTGATTTTGCCATTCATTTATTAACTCGCTTAAAATGCATTCAACATACATAGTTAAAAAATACATAATAAGCCATTCATTTAGTCAGTAGATAAATGCATTCCACCTACAAATCATAATGTCTTGAATTATTTATGCACACACTGCATACATTTGAACCACCTACCATTCATTTTACACACACCACCTACCATTCACTGAATGCATTCCATCTACCATGCCTCATTTTACACACTGCATACGGTTGTTGAGTATTAATTTCCTCACCACCTACCTCAAGAATGGAGCCTCTATATCAACTCAAAATTATATACAAACCTGCTATCAAAAAATTATCAACCTTCACTGAATACCTCTGCCCACAGATTGCTTGTCTGTCCACAGATTGCCTCTAAGAACACAGTCAGTGTATTCCCTCCACCACTACCTTCAAATTCGGCTTAACCAAAATCTAATCCCAAACTCTGCATATTCAGTGTAGTGTAAGTGTGAATCCATAGACTGAGCAAGGGAAACCATTTGAATCAAGAAAGGCAGGAACAGAAACAAGAAGGCAGCATCCAAGAGGTAGTATGTTGCATGGTGAAAGGCATGGATCAACCAGTTGGTCAATCGGCGCCCTTTTTTTTTTTTTTTTTTTTCTTTCAGTGTGTATGCTGTATTTTTTAAGTGTGTATGCTGTATTTGTTCAATTTTATGTTTTATTTGTTCAAGTTTAACTTTCTCAAAAGCATGAAATTCATGTTTGAATCAAACTTTATGTTCAATATTTTAAAACATAAACTTGTTCAATATTTTAAAAATTACCAGAACTGTATGTTCAATTACTGATGTTGTTCAACTTTAACTTTCTCAATATTTTAATCAAACTTTTTGTGGTAATGGCATATGATGGTTTTTAGGATTATTCATACAGAATTGTAATTCATACAGAATAGAGAATATGTTGAAAGTTAACATAGAATATGAAAATGAACTCCCTATTGATTTTAAGGCAACACAGAACTGTAATACAGCAAATGAATAGAGAATGTATTGTATGAATTTTCAACTCCCTATTGACTTTCATAGCATATTAAGGTAACACATTCATACAGAACTATAATTCATACAGCATATTCACTATTGACTTTTAGGGTAATTAAAAAAACATGTAATATGAAAATAACATGTAATTAGTATGCATACTGAAATATGCTAATGTTTTTCCATTTCAATATGCATTGTAATATTAAAACTATATTCATTTGAAATTCAACAGATTTTGACATCATGCCTAGAACTAAAAGAGCGAGAGCACAAGTTGGTGAAAGTTCCAACCCTCCACGACGCAAAGAACAACAGCCTCAAATTCAGTCATATCCTACTGATGATTTTCTCAGTGAAAGTCATGCACTAGCCTTTCCAAACTTCTCTAGCCGACCAATTATAACAGGGAGGAGGGTAAATCTTCCATCTCAATATGATGCACTATTAATTAGTAAACTTGAAGCAATGGGATGGCTAAACTTAATTAATTTGCCCCAAAAGGTATATCCATGGCTGGTATCTCTATTTTATGTTCACCTAAGAGGTACTCAGGAAGAACATGGAAATTTTACTCTTTTGTCATGTGTGAAAGGAAAGGGTATACAGTTTGATATTCCTACTTTGGCAAGCATTATTGGAGTTGAGTTAGGTGATGAAAATATGCATTTTCAGACTGAGGCTGAGTTAGCTAATATCGTTGGTAACGCTACTGATGTCTATACTACTATTTGTCGGAACAGATTTACTGGGACTAGTTTACAAGCAAGACATTTAAAACCTTATCTTCGGATTCTCCACCGGTGGATTGTAGAAAATGTCACTCCAAAAAAAGGATATCATGATGCGGTCCCATATTTTAATGTCTATTTGTTATACTGTTTTGAATTTGGTCAGAAGTTAGATTTGTGTTACATAATTATGAAAGAAATGATACTGGAAAATCAAGGTCAATTCACGGGTCGGTCATTACCGTTTGGGGCACTCTTAACAAAAATTTTCAAATATTTTAAGGTTCACCTTGTAGATGAAATGGATATCAAAATCCGTTCACCAATTAATCAGTATACAGTGACCCGTGCTGGTGCAGCCTCCAATTTAATGGGAAGTGTTAATGCTCCAGAAGATTCAGAAGATGAAGTCCCAGAAGATGATGCTCCAGAAGATCCTCATGCCAATGTGATACCATCAACTGAACAACCTCAATATTGGACTGAGTTTTTTGCCATAGAAGAACAATGTTATAATCAACGTGTTCAATGGGAACATCAAATGGCTAATCAGGTCAATTCGTTGGGTACTCAGTTTGATACATTTACCACTGCACAGAACTTATTAGTTCAACAATTTGGTGATTTCCGTGTGGACATTGAGCATTGCGTAGATACGATTGAGCATCGCGTAAATGACATATACCATCACTACTACCCTTCTCCACCACCACCACCAGATAATGACTGTTGATGTGTTTCACATTATGTATTTGTATTGTTTTGTATTTTGTTATTTTAACAACCTTATGTATTGTTGATGTATTTTGTTTGTTGGGTCAATTTGTTAAAGAGGACGACATTAATTAAAACATATTCAGTTATGACCATTGGCCTATGCAGTTATTATCACTTTATATTGTAGTTTTTCATTTTAATGCCTAGTTGACAAAGGACATGATTATGTACATCCTGAAAATGCTACAAAAAGGTCATTATCCAGTTATGATTCTTCTGGTACAAATCATGTTATAGTAGTCAATGACTTCACTTTAAATATCATTTAAAGAAGACGAGGTTAATTAAAAAAAAAACACATTGAACTACAGGCCAAAGATCTCCCTATGCAAAAAACATGGCAACAATTAGATATTGAATTTGAAATATGGCAAAAATACGTATCGGGGGAAATTCATAAAACCAATAAAACTAACCAATACAAGTTAGACATAATATTTTTAAACAATAAAACCAATAGATGAAACCCACAAATACGGAACCTTTCAAGGCAATCTATTAGTTATTCGAAATAAAATTTGTCGTTGAAGATTTTTGTAGTACGCCCTTTGCATAGAATTTAAAATTGTCATGTCCATTGACATAATTTTATGATCTTCATTTCGTTGTTCTCTTTCATTCATCATAGATAGGAATTTTAGTTGTTCCTCCCTATCTTCGACCCTTCTTCGATGCTCTGCAGCCTTCTGTTCACGGTCTATCGCCTTTTGTTCATCTCGCTGAATAGTTCTAGCGGAGATAGTTGATAACACTTCAACAATTTTGGATTGGTTGGCAGCCATTTCATTAAATCTACTATCGTGCATTGTTTGATTCTTCAACTTCTCTTTCGCTGCCTTAGTACCAATTGGTCGTGTTGATGTATTAGATGGTTGTTCATGCACCACATTATTCTGGTTGGATTGAGAAGCCTCATATTCACTTGGTGGATTCGAACATGGATCAGCATGTTGCGTGCTTCTTTTTGATCGAAATTCATCCCACTTACAACTTTGGCTCAAAATCTCCCAACATGTATCAAATGTGAAGTGTTTTTTCTGTATTGCATGATATATCCGCTTTGCTTCAGTGACCTACAAAAAACAATTACAAAGATTTCAATAACAAGGATACATTTAAAAAAGAAAATTGATATTTAATAACACAAATAAATTTTACCATATCTGCCTCAGTTGTTCCACTTTGTTGCCTCAGTTGAATTTGTTCAAGAAAACCACAGAATTTATTAATTGCCTTTTGCATGGCAGACCAACGGTGAGTCAAAAAAATACGATTTCAATTTGATTTACTGCTCAATTGTGAATTAAAATAAACAAGTACTCGTTCCCAAAATATAGCCATAGTCTGACTATTACCAGTGATAGGATCTTGAGAGACTACTAACCAAGATCTACATAAAGTTTCATCTTCTATAATTGTGAATGCTTTACCATGAGAAACACGATAAGTTTCTCAAATAAAATGATTATCACTGTTTTGGGTGTTCTGTTCTCGTGAAGATTCCGACATAAAATTAATATGAGTGTTGTGCTCAAACATTTGTGATTCCTCAAACATTTCGAAATCTTCTATAGTTTAGAAAAAATACAATACATTTACTGAAAAATATTGTAATGATATAAAGCTCAAACTCATATTCAGATAATTTAATCATATAATATTAATTAAAATTTCAAGGGAAACAAATATCTAATGGGACAAAAGAAAAAAATTCACAAC